GTAAATCAAACAGTAAGGCTGGCTGTGGTGGAATAATACGAGACCATAATGGTAACTGGATAGCCGGTTTTACTCATTACATTGGAGTCTGTGAACCCTTTGAAGCAGAAGAATGGGCAATTTACAGAGGCTTGAAACTAGCTTGGGATCTTGGAATGAGAAGAGTAATTCTTGAATCTGATGCCAAGAACCTTATCCACATGCTTCAGGATAGACAACGCTACAGAGGGGCCAGCCTCCTTTTCTTCCAGATCCAAAACTTCATGCGTTGTCCTTGGGAATTAAAATTACAAGCCATTTCAAGACAACAAAACCAGATTGCTGATGCCTTAGCAAAAGAGGGTCTTTCCAAATCTTCTACTATGGATTCGTGTCCTGCTCATTTGCAGATAATTGTGCAGAAAGAGTCTATGGGATTCATTTCCCCTCCTACTTAGTTTCTTCCTCAGTTGGGCTTTGCCCTCTCTTGTAACAAAAAAAAAAAAAGTAGTTAGATCTAATAGAATGAGTTATTCTCTCATAACATGACAAATCAAGGTTTAAATCTCTACTGAGAAAAATAATCACATTTAATGCTTGAGATTTTCTCTAATAGAAGAATACTTATGCCTAGCGAAAAACTACTCCACTCTCGTACTTAGGATTTTTTATCACTGTCGTCTGAGTAATTATGAAATAATCATCAGAAAAACTTACTTAGATGAATGAAAGAGAAAAGTCTTATCAATAACTCGATTGGCAGCTCCAAAATCGATAGGCTGTTGTCTCTGGCAACAATTTTTTTTTTTAAGGATGAAAATATGCTCCATTATGATGAAACCGTGGTTATTTTATTTTTACGATCGTAAAGAGTAAGACAGAGATAAATAACGAATGGATAATATAAAGCTAAAGATAAGATAAATTTTATTTAGAAGATTCTTTCTGAGCACTTTCTAGGGATAAATTTAAATTTCATCCTTTCGGTCTTTAATAGTCATTAGGAGTTAAAAGTTGAAACAGTTGACGAAGAAAAGCGCATGTGGGCGGAGGTTGATGCTCCAACCATCAAACCCGACATTTTCTTCTGCTTTGGTTTTACACTCTGAAACGACGCCATACGACTGAAATGGTCATTTCTTGTCACTGCCTGCTCCGAGCCTGCTGGGTCTTCCTCTCAAGTCCCGTTAATAAGTGGTTTTGAATTTGACGGTGAAGATAAAAAAAAAAACTTATTTTTAATTTGAGAAAAGTCAGATCAGATAATGTGATTTATATTTGAATTAATTTTTATAAAAATTAATTTATAAAATAAAAAAGTTGTTTCAATTATAATTGAACAAGTAAGTTTAGTTTATAAAATAACAAAAACAGGTAAGATTTTATTAAATAATGAAAAATAATGAAAAATATAAATTTACAAAATATAATAATTTTAAATTACTATAATAGAAAGAAGTTATATTTAATAAATAAAATATATTTAAATTAGAAATCATAGTAATGTTATAATTTTTGAACCAAATGACATTACATAATTAATTAGATGATATACTCAGCATAATTTATGTAAATATAAAATATAAAATAATATTAAAAATATTATAAAAACTGTTAAACATTATTTTTGCTTAAAAAATATTAAAAATAAATAATTAAAAACTAATTAGGAAGCACATGAAATATATAGAAAAAAACATAAGAACAACATAAATATAAAGAAAAAAAATGTCTTTTAATTTTAAAAAACTATTTTACATAAGTCAAAAATAATTTTTAGGTATTTTTACAATCATACTTAAAACAATAACTTTTAATCCATAAGTTAGATTGGTAAAAAACTATTACAAATAGCTCATAAATTTACAAACTGACTTATGATATGTTTGTTCAGATCATTATTCAACACTATAAAATAATTTTGTGGGCCAATCCATTAACTAAAATTTTCTAAAAGTGAAAATGGCATTAACTATATTATTAATAACATAGGTCGGGTTTGCCAAAAAAAAAAGTCGGAAAAAATAATAATATAATATTATAATAAAACGCTAATATTTCGGCAGAAACCCTAAATCGGCGAACTCGAGGTTCACCGGCGATCACAGATAGAGTGAGATTAATTGGAAAACATCAAGAGACGAAAGGGAAAAGAGAGCATGGGAGTAGCGAGTAAGGTCGGAGATTATGCATTCAAGGCATTCACGGCGGGTCTTGGACTTGCTACCATTTACCTCACCGCCACTTTCTCTGTTAATGTTTATCGAGGCCTTGCTTGGCACAATGCTCAATCGGTACTTTATCTCCGTCTCCTCTTTCTTGTACTATCTTTCTTTACTTCTGGGCTATATCTACAACTGTACAGTTTCTTTTCATTTTCCAGTGATAATAAAATAGTGTTAACCTGTGGACGAGGGATTATGACAATAGTCTATAGTCTAACAAGATTAGTTTCAGGCGTAGGGGGCGTCTAATTTTAGGCGTAAAGAAGCATAATAAAGTACATGTCTTTTATGATGGCGATGCAGATTGTCGATGCTTTTAAAATCAGGTTGGTTAATTGACATGATGATACATGCAGTAAATGAACTCAGTTTTCTTAATTCGAAAATGATCATTTCTATTCTTGCTGCAGAAGTCGAGTCTTCTAATTGAACTATGGAATAGAACCTTTGATGTCATGTTTTAAAGTAGGAAAAGTGCTGAAGCTTTCTGGTTGATAAGCTGTGGTACTTGTAAAGATCATTTTGCCAAGATGTTGGTTTGCAGTCCCCATGTTCCGAATCTTGTATTTCATGTGGACGGCCTTTTATATGTTTATTGAAAACGATGATTATTTCATACTTGTCTGGTGCAAGGAGAAAGGTGTAAAGTTTAGGTAGCTTTCATGATGGGGGATTTTCGAAGGGGTGTGAAGGGACAGGAGTTCACGCCCCAGTGCCTCCTCTCCAGAGTTCATATTTCATTTCTTGCAATCTGAGAGCTTTTTGGTTGACAACATTGTAAACCTTCCTTTCCTTCCCTTTATGTTGGTCTGTCCTCTTGTTTGCTTTTGCTCTTATAAATTTCTTTAACAACCCCTTTTCTCTGCCCTCTGTTGCTTCTAGGTCAATTTAGACATCTGTTGCTTCTAGTTCAATTTAGACATCAAAATTTCTTTTTGTTTCTTTTGGGAGAAATGGAGGATGGTTGACAACCGGAAGGTTTCTGTTTACATATATTATACTATCTGCATGAACTAGAGATGATTAAGTGGAATAACTCTGTGCTGTTGGCTTATGTCTTTCATGTCTGAAGGGTTAGAGAGGAGTAACAACGGTATAGGTTGTGGATTTGGAGTTTGGAGACAAATTTATCTTCAGTTCATCATTTAAGTTTCAAATGAAGGTGTTAAATAAGCTTATGTTTGATTGGAGTTTGAGATCTGAATCATGTTCTTATTGGACCTTGATTACTGTAGTCTCCAAGGTTCCAAGCAATCGACTTTGAAATTTGGGGACTGTGTACATGGTTTGTTGCTGCCTTTCAGTTTGTTCATCCCCTAGTGTACTCAATTGAGCGGAGTCCTTGAACTCTCGAATTTTGTTCCCTTGTATGATGGACACTGCCTATGATTTTGTGTCCCACTTTGCAAGTATGTGTCTCTTGTATGACTTAGTAATGGTTTTTTCAGTAGAAATATTGCTATTTTGGGTCGTGTCACGCTATCAACTTGGTTCGGTTGTTTCTATCAATTGCTGCCAAAATATCATGGATATTGATGTGCTATCACGTTGCCATTGTCAAATTACCTTTCGGCATGCACCTCTTTAACCTAACATTATTGTTTTCCTGCAGAAACTTGAACCGCAAGACTCTAATGATCAGAGCCAAGCTTCATGACTCGATCTCATATTTTCAGTCATCTATCTGCTTGTTATGCTTAAAACTGTGTAGAAATATAATGCTTGCTTTTTGAAAAAATCCAAACGATGAGGCAATAATTAATGCTCTGTGGGAAAGTCATAATGGCTTGAGTGGCTTTGAAAGTTTGCAAGTAGACCGAGTCCTCTTTATCTATATATGCCTTGCATTTGACGTCTGAAGACTTTCTGTAAAGCCTCCTTTTGGAATTTGGACATCATACGAAAAGTGAAACTCAAGAGTTGTATTACGGATATAAGGAATCTTATTTGGGATCATTAGCCTGCCGTTTTGATGAGTTTTTTAGATTCATTTACGTTTCAATAATCCGTTCCTGTCTTTTAAGACAAGTTGTTTGGGATAAGGGCGGCCCTCAGTTGAGAAATATCAAATATGGGCTAGGAAAGAAGTTTCAAATACTCCTGTAAGGGATGAATGAATAGCTATGAAATGTGGTTTAACTTATTTATGTTCACCATCCAGCAGCATCATAAGCATTTTGCATTGTGCCTTGTGCGTCGCCAAGGAATGAAAAGATATTGTGACGTAACTGCGCTTTTTATGCCTCTGTTTTCAGGCATGAAAGTCACCGGCTAACCATTTCATCCTTTTCTAATGTTTTTTTTCCTTTTGTTATGAAGGCGAGTCGACTTGAAAGTATAGGAAACTAGAAAATAATGCACGGTTCTTTGGTGTTGAGTCATTCAGTGAAGATTGGAATTAGAAGAAGGAACTTTAATGAATAAATAGATAGATTTTTAATATATATTATGTTAAATATATGAATACTATTAGTACTTATGATTTAGCGTGGTGTCAAATTTATTAGATATAAATTGACGAGAAAAATAAAACTTGTTTTCGGCTTTTCAAGGGTAAGGTCAGATTCGTCACCCTTCCAGCTTCGAGACTCGATGATATAGTCGCCTAAATAAACTAGAGCTCCGTATGTTTTATTCTGCAGGCGACTAGCTACGAAATAAGATTTGGAAAGATGGCCTTGTCTCTAAGTACAACCTAGAAGCCGAAGTCGGTGGCCCGCCACAGTTTCAACTCAGCATTCTGGAACTCTAATCTTGAATGCTCGATTTAAAACAAGGTTCAGGAAGGAGGGAAGAGGAAGAGAACAGGCATTGCTATCAAATTACGAAATTGTATAGGTGCAGTCCTAGTTAACATTTTTAACATAACCGGAATATAATCTGGCAATTAAATATTAAATATTAATCATAAAAAAGCCCCAAAAAAAAAAAAGGGTTAAGCAGCCTGCCAACCCTGTATACTAGACTCATCAACCCTCTCTGAACTCTGAAAGCGGGTATCTGGCGGCAAGCTCCATCCAATCTGCCCTGTCCAAGAATCAATGATCAACAACGAATACTCAGGAAATTTTGCAGTAACGTGAATTTATGTACTAGTTCCCAGACCCCTTCAACAGTGAATCGACGCCAAGTATTGCTCTTGATGATACTTCACAATAACCTCATAAAGATCATTATCGCGTCTCCTTGATCAAGGGATCTTCCAACAAGCTGATTCGGAATCAAAAGATCTAAATAGGGATCCAGATCGCGTAGCATTTCTGCCAAAAACAGATAGCAGTGCAGAATAATTATACCGCATGTGTAAAAGAGTTGCATTAACTGGCGTTGCTAATCTCATTCGCAAGTCTGTAATCGATGGGCGATAGTGCCTAAAGACTAAATGGGCCTCATCTAGCGGCTACAGAAGAGGAGGCTTGAAGAAATAGAAGCTTCATGAAGTGGTAAGTGAACCTATTGTTTCAGCTGGTTTTACTCATGTGCAATATTTGATGTCTCTCTTGAGTTCAGATGAACCTCTGCCAGAGGATTAGTGATGAAACCTCGATCACCACGGAACCTTAATCTGTGATTTCTTTCAGTACTGCCATGCTTGTCAGCTCCGTAGTGCATGGCAGCTAGTGATGGAGTGCCTGCAGATCTAGAGATCGAGGAGGATGAATACCGGCCCTGTGATTTCCTCCAGAACTTGGAGCTTAAAAATTCTGCACCAGACAGCAAGCAACAAGTCCTCCCGGGAGCATCAGCATTGGTCATCCTTCCACTTGATACAGCTAAATCATAAGAGATCTCATCTAATGCCAACTCGAGGCCATGCACACGAGTCTCCAGAGATTGCATTCCGTTTTGTGAGCTTCCAATGAATCTCTGTATGAAGAACACAGAAAACACTTTGAGAAATATTCTTCATCAAACTATACAGCATAAGTGCAAATGTTATATTACTATTAACCAGCCTTCTCACAAAAGACTTGCACAGTTGAAGCCAAGTACACAGAAAAAATTTATGGTAGGAATTCGGTGATCAAGCATTGGTGACAAACCTGCAGAAGATCAAGCAAACTCGATTGCTGCTTTTCAATTTCAGATAACTGGTTGCGGATCAAAGATAAATCTTCGCACTCTTTGTCATTCTTGTTTTGATCTTTGGCGACATTACTAACAGCAACAGAATCTTCACTGTCTTCATGGCAGGGAACCACACGAGATCCATTTTTGGACCCACCAAACTTGTGAAATTTTTCATCAGTGTTTTTACCAAAAAGAGCCCTTCTCATTTCTGGCTTTGAAAACCGTGTCTTCTCTTTTTTGCTTCTTTCCATGATAAACTCGTCCCTGTCTGCAGAATCACCCCGGTAAGCCGCAGAGGGAGCGTCCGGCACAGTTATTTGAACATCCCAATTCTTATGGTTCGGCTTTCGGGGCACATTTGGGTTCATTCTCTTGTTACTACTCAAGGGACTAATCTTCTTAGTTTTGCTAGCAGTATAACTGGCCGGGGGGGTAGATCTGCTAACTGAAACGGATTTTTTCCGAAATTGAGACACTACAGAACCAGGAGCGCATGAACTCTGCACGACTGGTGGATAGCGCCCATCACTTGCATTCTCTGAATCAAAGGCAGCCCGCACCCAAGAATAGATAAGCAAATAGCAATCAATAGCCAAAGGCAAATTGACGGCCTCAGTGAATTCCAGGTTAAACATACTATTTGATTTAATGTAAGATCAGATTCAGATCACTACGTAGAGTAATTAATGATCATCATTTCCGCCTTTAAAAGCTCAACAGCAACCAAAGAATAAACTGAGTTTCCATCTATTTCAACGGCCATAATAAGCAAATGGTAGATGAATAAAGTAATACCTTTGGAAGAAGCTTGTGATTGAGGAGGTGGAGAAAATTCATCGGAAAGATCAGGTATCTGCTTCCACGCTTCCAGCATCTGATTCAGGACTTCCCGAACAACCTTCACCTGAATCAAACAAGGCATAGACTCAATGCACTTTCAAGTTACCATAAATTAACCAAACCACAAGGGGAAAATCAGAGTTATGATCAGAGGAACAAAGAAGAAATGTCAATGTCGCATGTTAAAACCTTATCAAATCGTCGATTCTCGAAAACTTTCAGATATCTCTCCTTGTATTCGGATAATATTTCCCTTTCCACTGTTGCCAACTTCATCAACGCCTCGGCCGCAGCCTTCCTTGCAGCCCAATCTTTGTTACTCAAGAATTCCACCATGCAAGGAACCAAGTTTATCAAAGCCCCAGGACTCGATGCCGCACCAACCTCAATAACGCTTCCGATCAGCGTCAACAGCGCCGGCTTTGCCTTAAATCCCTCGCACTTCAGTAACTTCTCGAACCTGGGCAAGAGCTTCATCAATCTCGCCGGCTCCGGATCCGGAACGGCATCAATGGCAGAAGCCAAACAAAGCGCCGCAGCCATCTGCGAATTATGGTCCTGCTCGGTGAACAGGGCCTCCGCTAACGCTTTTAGAAAAGAGGAAAACGGTTGCTTCGTGACGTGAGTCGACAATGCCAAAACGGAATTCACACAAGCGGATCGGACCGACGAATCGGGGTCACGGAACCGACGAATTATATTGCCAAGAATTTTTGAAAGATAAGGAGAGAGCGAATTTCCATGCGTCTCACACAGTACCTCCAAGACTCGCACGCATTGTCTCCGAACGGCAGGTTTATCCGACGCATCGGTGGAATGTATGCTGGAGAGAAAAACCGACAGAGAGTTCGGATCGAGGTTCCGAGCGATGGACTCAAGCTCAGCAGCAGCGAGCAACTGTGTGTCTCGGTCGGAAAGCTTAGTGAGGCAAGCGAAAACCCGTTGTTTCAGGTTCAGGGACGGGTTTGACGACCGAGGCATAGTGATTAAGATAATGCGGGCCGGAGATCAAATCCCGGTAAGGAGAAATTAGGAAACAGGCGGTGGAGCAGCTGGTATTTCCGGCAACATCACCGGAGAGCCGGTACCGGAATTTAATGTTGAGTGAATTGTTGTGGTAGTTTCTCACATTTGGTGGGAAAAATAAGGTGCCGGCTTTATTGTGTGAAGATGTGCAAAGGAAGCAGAGCAGCTCGGGAGAGACGGTAGTTGATAACGATGTGAGGGAAGGCGACAGGGAAGCCAACGACGAGTCGTATGTTGGATAATGTGAGGCAGGGAAGCTAAAACGACGGGAGGTTTGCCGTGGTTATACTGGGAGGTACATTGTCGTTTGCTTGTGGGGACAAGGCTAGCTATCCGCTGTGGCCTTGAAATGCTCCTGCTCATGTTGTGTTCTTTTTTCTGGGCATCTCCGTATGTGATTTATATAGTGGAGTCGGTATTTTTACATGAAAACGGTGCCTTAATGATTGGATCAAGCAGAGTAGTATAGGACCTAATTGTCGAGTTGATTTTGGTCTTAAATATAAGATCTATTTTTTATATTTTATCCCCTATTTTTTTTAAATTACCCCTATTGATACTCCTTCAACCATAATCTAGTAAAAGAAGGAGGGAGCATATTAAGGAAGATAATTATGGTGTTTTAGGAAAAACATGCTATGTTTTTATAATTAACTAACTTACCTAACTTTTTTTATCTAACCAAATTAGCTAAATAGATCTTATACTCTTTCGGTCCTTAATATAGGACCCAATTCTTGAGTTGGTTTTGGTCCTAAATATAAGACCCATTTCTCATATTTATCAGTTTTCTCTAAATTATCCCTATGGATACTCCCTCAACCATTATCAAGTAGAAGAGGGGAAGGGATATTAAGAAAGATGATTATGGTGTTTTAAGGAAAATGTGTCACTTTTTTTATAATTAACTAACTTACCTAACTTTTTAATCTAATCAAATTAATTAAATGGGTCTTATATTAAAGACCGGAAGAGTATTATGAGTATTAGAAACAGCAATTCACGGACCGCACGGTTAAAAAAATAATTGCCCATGCCCTTGTAATTTAGTACCATAGAAGTGTTTTTTCCCCCCTTTTCATAAAAAGAAAAAGTGAGCATGGTGATGGGGAGCACTAACTTGGGGGAGGGAGAGAAGGGAAGAGTTGAAGGAGGGCCTTGTGAAAGAAATAGGGTGCGGTTGAAGGAAGGAGGGTAGATTTTTGGGAGAGCAAGCAAAGGAGGCGGCATTGAAGTATAGCCGCGTGTTAACTTTTTGGTAGTTGCTTTTATTTAATGGGATTGGATTCAGTCACACTGTGGAAGGCGGGAAGCGACTTCTTACCTGAAATACTACTTTCCGATCTTAATTATAAGAGTCAGTTGATTAATTTGAGGAAATTAAGAATGTAAGTTGAGTTAGTTATTTTTTCTAAATAGGTGTTGTCTTTCCTAAAATATCCTTGATAACTAAGTGTATTGACTAGAACTATCATTGTTAGAAGAGCTACTTTGAAGGAAAAAAATATAAATATGAGAAACAAAGTGAATTATGATCTTATATTTAAGATCAAAATAAAATTCAAATAAAATCTTATATTAAGGACTAGAGGTAGTATATAATAATCCTTTTATCTTAAATGCAAAATTTATTTTGTATATTTAATAGCGCAGGAGCATATAAAATATGCCGTGGTATGATATGGGCCGTCGCGAGTTTCAGACGGAATTGAATTTATTGAATATTTTAGGGCCGAGACTAGGGAACAATTTGGGGGGATTAAAAATTCAGCAAGATTCAAGGGAGGAATAGGATGAGAAATATGATTAGAGGGAGAGGAGAATGATGGAATTGGAAGGCATGGGAGGAAGGAATAATGATGGGGGATGGCGGGGTAAGTGGGAACGGTTAAATGTTATTAGGATGTGCCACGTGACACTGGCCCTACATTATTATTCTATCCACAATTTAATAAATCCACAACATCTACCCCCTCCATTTGCAAAACAAATGAAATGAAATAAAATAAAATAAAATAAAATACTTCCTCCATGTTAAATGTAAGAGTCTTATAACTAACTCCTACTAATATGTGCAATTTATGAGACTAGTTTAAAAACACAATAATAAAGGTTTGAGATTAAAAAAATTACGGACTTATTTGATTTTTATTTTCATAACTAACAAAAAATTAAGAAAAAATAGCGTGATGATCAATTTTCATTTAATATCTTGTAAAATAAAAACAATAATCCTATTTTAATAAAAAAAGGACAACTTTTATGCGTACTTGCCATACGAGGCTAGATCCGAGGATCATACTTGATGGGCTATTCTTTTAACTTGTTTTAATTTAATTGTATGAAAGGGAATAAAAGGAATTAAATCGGAAACATGGTTTGCCTTTAATATTAAATTAAAAAAAAGGGAAGAAATGTCTATTTTGAGACTTTTCAGCTCATTAAGATGGAATAATGGGCATTGTTTTCAATCTTAAATCATTAATGTGACTATGAGAATCATACGGCAATATGGATGTTAAGCACAACTTGCAATTTGCTCTTATTTTATTTTATTTCCCGGCCAGATACAATTTGCTTTCTCATCTGAGGTTGCGGCGGTCTTTCTACCTATACAGATTCATCCCCCTTGTTAAATATAGAGAGGTGATAGGTCAATTGAGGGCATCCAACCATGATTATATAGATTAACCATTAAATAAATAAGTAATACTTACTGTTTACTACTCCTTGGATCCGTTTTGTGATTTATTATACCACAAAATAGGTGTTATATTCAGGACTGAAAGAATACCATTTTTATTTAAAAGTTGGATGAAGAAAGTTTTTTATGCTGTATGTTTATAAATCACGTTATTAAATTTTTAATATTAATCTATTATTTCATTCTTTCCTTATTATTGTGGTGTTATATTGTTATTTTTTCTTGTATATGTATTAAATAAGAATAAAATTAAAAGAATGCTAGATTTTAAAGCAAAATTAATAATATTTAAATTTTCTTGTTTTGACAAATATATTCAAAATTAGGAAAAAATGACAAAAAAAAGATCGCCGAAATGAAAAAATTACACACAGGGACCTGTTCATAAAATTATTAGTAAAACTCATACTAATATTGTTATGGGTTCGTATTTATAATTTTTTTATTTTGATGATTCTTTTGTGCCATTTTTTCTAAAAATTACTTATAAATAGAATAAAAAAGTATGACCAAACAAAAGAAGAGCTGAGAGGCATAAAAATGCAAAAAGGAACAAATTATGGATACGATAATGAACAAGAGAAGGGGGGACACGTGGCATAGCAGATGAGGGGGACACCAGGGGGAGACAGAGGGAGGAATGGCCGAATGGCCATGGAAGAGCCAAGGAAGAACGGAGACAATGAGGATGTCGGTGCGTGATTCATGTTCAACTTACCTTTCCAATGCGGCATCTGCCATGTGCCCCCAAGGTGTAATATGGTTACAATTTAGAAATGACCCACATGTTCCAAAACATCACTTATCCTCGTTCAAAACAAATGGTCTGAATTTTTCATACGCATATCATTTCAATTGGCAATTGGTGTTCATGCCACTTTCTCCTAAATATAATATTCACTTAAGGCCCAAGGTAGTACCCCTCCGTTCCTTATTATAAGAGACTAATAACTAAATCACGTTGATCAAAAAAAAAACAGTAAAATTAGTTAAGGACAATTAATATGTAAAAAGTATAATGTTTTTTCAACAATGCCCCCATTAATAAGGAGAGAGAGAGAGAGTATGAGAGAGAATAATTAAATTATTAAAAGAAAGAGAAGTGGGAGGGGGAGAGAGTGAGAGATGAGTTGGAGACAAAATAAATAGGGATAAAATAAGAAATCAATACAAAAAAATAGAGACAAATTTTAAGTGTCTCTTATATATAGGAACATGCCATAAGTATCAAATGTCTCTTATAATAAGGAACGGTGGAGTATTATTTAAATACACTGGCTGTTTGGTATTTAGGTGAAAATTACTAACATTTTGAGTTTCTTAAATTGAATTTGATTCCTAAAATTTAAAACCAAAATAGTTTTGATTCCTCGTATTTAACTTCATTTTTTTAATACACGTAAAGATTTTTAGTCTTTTAGATAAGGTTCTATGGACAAAAACTATTCCAAGGTCAAATTTCAGAAATTAAATATGATTTAAGGGTCATTTACTCTCTGCTGATGACTCTTAGATCCAGTGGCACCAACTCTCGGCTTAAAATTTGTGCTCTCATTTTCATATATTCGTCTGATTATTGGATAACATTGTTTGTCACTTAATAACCAAGAGTAACACCAAATCTAACTCTTAAAATTTTCCCCAATCCCTTGGCGTGGATGACGACCATTTTTTTGTTGGATTTGGATGCTTCGTTTGCAGCGCTCATATGTATAAAATTACTCCTAAGTTTCTAAATAGGAAGATCTATAATTTCATTCTTAAATGGGCCAGAGAAATATTGAGTCCATTTCCAAATATTCATTTATTAAGACCGTGCTTTACGGAACATGAGATAAATATGTTACTATAATTCATTCTTAAATGGGCAGGGTGTGAATGGACTCATTTATTGATTGTGATTTACGGAACATGAGATAAATATATGACAAGAGTTTTATTTTAGTTATGTAAAATGTACTTATAAGTAATTTCAAACTCTATCCCAGATAGTCCCAATGAAAAATGAAAGTGTGGATTTTAAATTTTAATCAATAAACAAATGCTTTAAAGTTACAATTTCATGGTTAAATTACTCATTAGTAATTTAATATATTACTACCTCTTATCCTTAATATAATGCCTAATTAATTAATTGAGAGAATTGAGAAAGTTACTATATTACTTTAAAGTATTTATGTTTATCGTTTTCCCCCCAACTAATTTGTCTTACTTATAGATTGATATATTAATTTAATAATACAAATAAGTATTTTAGAGAAAAGATTATAAAACATACTATATACTCTAATTAAGTAATTTAATAAAATTTTTAATATTTTTAAATTAGTCAGTTAAGTTTTATATTAAGAATTAGAGGTAGTAAAATGTATATATGATAAATTTATAAAAAAAATCAGATTATTTATAAATTATTAACGACACAGATTGTTTGAAAGCTGACATACACTACGAAGGCCATTGTCTAGACTCAATTTTTTCGAGCAGGAGCATTGAGGTTCTTAAACTATTAAATGA